GGGTGAATCCTATAAAGTTCATATCATTATATTAATGTTTTATTATATTTATTATATTCTAGATTATTGATTTTTAATTTGCTTTTTTTATAAATAGTCGTGTGTTACGGAAACTTATATACATCATGAAAACTCCCAAGTTTTAAACACAGCTTTTGCATTGATTGCTTTAATGGCAGGTAAATACCCAAATGAAGGGCCTATTCGACGCGGTATCCAGGTATATAAACAAATTTTTACTAAAAATGCTGCCTTTTCTATGTATTATTTTAATAGAGAATTAGCATTAATATATTTATATAATTATATTAATTAAAAACATCTTTCGCAGCTTATTGTATCACGACAATTGACAACTGGAGAATGGAAAGCAGAATATGTAACAGGAATAATTAACAATATGACGGTTACTTTTTCAGCATATAAATTTATTTTTCCTATTTGGGCATTAGGCATGTATGCCAAAATTTATAATAATCCTATAATTTTTTAAGAAATGTGTTACATATTTTTAGATTTACAATTATAAAATAATATTTGTATTTTGTAACAATTTCACAAATAACAACTTAGTTCACAGACAATTAATGTAAAGACAAGGGTATTCACAAATGAATAATTTATGGACATTCGGAAATAATCTTGTCTGCAAATTAATTTGAAATAATATTTATTTTTTGATCATTATAATAAAAAACATCAAAAAATGATTTATTAAAGTGCAAACTTGGGCCTCAGTAAGTGCACATTTCCCTTGATGATATATACTTATCAATTATGGGGTTGACTTGACATAGTAATCTGATGACTCTCATGTAGGGATGGAAAAGTCCTAGTTAGGTTCTTATAGGTTCTAAGTAAATTAATAATTTTTATGCTAATTTTTCATTTTTTAGTTCTTAATTAAACTTATTAATTATAAAATTATGATGAGCAATTTTACTTATAAAGATAAAGCAAAAAAACTTTCTTTAAAGTTTTTTTTTGCTTTATGTTTGTAAGTAAAATTATTCATAATTTTATAATTATTAAGAACTTAAAAATGAAAAATTAGCACAAAAACTATTAATTTACTTAGAATCTATAAGAACCTAACCGGAACTTTTTCATTTCTACTCTCAACAACCTTTATTGACATTGTCAGAGGTAAAACCGACACCTCATGGAACCTGCGAAATGTACGTCATTGTGGCATGCTTACCTAATTAGAGTTGCCCATGACGATCCATCTGAAACATGTGCGCCCGACCTCAAAAGATGCCATATGAAAGTACACAAGCCTCCATGCGGGACCCAATCACCCCTCCAATTAAAGTAAGGTCGACCTA